GCATTTCAGTAGGGAAAGTCTCCCTATTTGCAAGACAATATAATTAAATGTTTTAGTCAATTGTTCTACTAATTGGTCTTTAAAGGTTTTATAAAATTAGTTACTAAGACCATCTGGGCATGGTATCTTTATTTTCTCCATTTTATTTATCTCATTCTCAATTTCCAGTTTAGATATAGGATGATTATATTTGTTTCTTTGGGATTATGCTATTTTATTTAAATTAGCTCTTAATAAATAGCTCTTTATATTTAATTCATTATTTACCTCTTTTATGTTATACAGAGAGCTGTAATACTCCCTAAAACATTGACCTATTTTTTTCAATGTTAATGCTATCTCTCCTTTTCTTAATATCTTGGTATTTCGATTCAAACAGTTTTTTTTTTAGTTGTGCAGGGAGTACTTTATCTGCCTTGTTCCCTTTACTATAATATTTTAATTTAAGTTTTTCCATATTTGTATTATTTTTTCCATACATTTTTGATGAATATGTTTTGTATCTCCACCAGTTCTACATTTTAATTCTTCTGATTTATTTTTATTGGTTATTTGATAACATTTTATATATAATCAAGCTAAACTTTGTCCTCTTTTTTTTTAAGTTGAGTATTTAATTTTATCAGATGCCCTCTTAAAATGGATTTAAACGCACACCAGTTATTTGTAGGATTATTTTCTAGAAAAGAATAATGAATTGTTTCTTTAATTAAATCAATGTTTTATTTATTATATAATTAATAGCATTTATACGCCATGTAGAATATTTCCTATTTCCCACATTGTCTTTTCAGGCTCCAAATAAGAAAATCGTGATCTGATTATTTTTTTATGTCTGTTTTATTTCTAATTTCTATTTATTGCCCATCTCGCCATAACATATCTATCTTGGAATGAGACAAATGTACTTTCGAAAAATGAGTAACATCTCTTTCATCAGGATGTAACACGCCATATATCGAATAGATCATTTTCATTTAGAATATTTGACAGCGCATTAGCTTGTTTGTACATTCGTTTATCCATTGTTTGTACTTTTAATATTTATCGATATTTGGGTCTAAGATGCTATTAAAATCACTTGCTATAAATGTAACCACATTTAGCCATACTGGCGTTTAGTAGAGGACATTCTATCGCAAGTCCTAAAAACTGAAATTACACTTACACCAAGCGTAGGTCTATTGCTCTTAAACATTGATACATTTCCGAAGTGGGAGGCTATTCTGGTATTTCATACTTTAGTTGCAGCCTTGACACTATTAGCACAGGCCTGGAAGTCAGTGGAGGCGCCCACAAGGCACGCCTTAATGCAACAAATCTCTATCAACCTAGACTATGAGTATATGGCTAGGCGCCAACAGGGCACCAACACATTCTTTGGGAAAGCCAAAGAGGGGTGGGATACTTATATATACACACATTGGATCAATCAACAGATCCGCCATGCCCCTGACCGATCCTACCTAATGGTCGAATGACTGACCAACTTATAATGGGCAAACTATCCTATTCATACTTTCTTCCCAAGACGACATAGGCGAACACGGGGTAGGTTATTCTTAGAGAAGACCCAGGGAACCATGTCACTTCACACAACTACGTAGAATGATAGCTGTAGATGAAGGGTATTAATTCTGAAAATTCCTGTGCGAACTAGAATTCTCTTTTCATAAACGACCGGTGGGGATTACCTGCTCTTTAGGCATCCTTCCTCCCGTTTCCTCTCCTCCCTGTTTATCCCCCATTTACTGGCATATTGAATTGTATATAGTTAGTGACAAGGTACAAATGAGGTCTCTAGACTGTACGGCTCCAAGCTCATGCACCTGAGTGACCCACCTAAGGACTCTAAACAAGGTTCTCAACGAAACTCCTCTCTACTATGGGAAATCCTTGACAGCACATAGATGACATGTTTGTCCACTAAGGAGTGTTGCAACCACCTGGGGACCACTTTGTTCTATGCATAACGTGAGTTTAACTCGATTGGAATTGATATAAAGCCATGAATATGTCCTTAAACTAAGTTGTTTGGCTAACCTCTACAGTATTCTTGCATAGCAGACGATCCACGAATGTTCCTGACAAACTAGGGTTAGAGTTTAGAAGAGAATTACTGTTAAATAGAACGTGTACTGTATTGTCACACATGTTGGGTCCTTTACACCCAAAAACAAATAGTTTTCCCTTCCTTTTTTCTTTCTATACCCTATCCCCTTATCAATGAAAAAAAAGCAATAAAAAATTGTCAAATGGAAAAAAAATATAGCAACCCCACACTTTTTATTTTATGAGATGCATTAATTATCTTGGGGAAGTTTTTGCCTCCAAAACTGACTGTCACTTTGTCTCCAATGAGGTTCTTGGATTAGTGCCACATTTATTTGTTCTTTTCTCATAAAATCACATATCAACCTTTTATATTGTGTATTCATACCCTTATGTTGATTGAACACCTTTTTATCACCCGCCTGTATACCCCACAATCTCCTTTTGGCAACAGATTGATTCTTATACATACAACTAAATAAACAATTGTACACTTTAAAGTAAGAAGCGTGTTATTCCTTTCAGAAGTTGTCCTAGTGAATACCATACTGGATCTTTGCCCAGGTGTTTGTAAATCATCAACCCATCCTCTTAATTATTTTATAAATGTTCATTCTGTCACCAATATGTTTTATATATATATATATATATATATATATTTTTTTTTTTAAAAGTCTTATAGCAGAATTATTTTAAAATTGTATTCCTATTTAATACATCTAGTTTACTTTTTATTTACCAGTGCTCAACGTTTGTGGGTTTATTTTCAGCAGAATGTTTAAGTTAATGTGCAACTGTAATACAGCAAAAAGGCATCACGTGATCTTGTAGACAGCTACATTAGATTGCTCCAGGAAATACCGGTTTAGATATTTCACCAATAACCGTCAACCGTACGTTAGAGATATAACAATTTGGTCTACTTTGCTTTATGTATCTTATACCTATAGGCACAAAAACAAATTTAGCTTATTGAAGTGGTTTTGGTGTATGTATAGATCACACCTGCACAGTTTAATCTAGAATGTATTTCCTGATCTGTAAAGCTTTAATCACACACAGGCGGCTCCTGCAGGCTCTAGAAGGTTAACATGATTTCAAATTAACTATTTTTTTATGCAGGCGGTCAGTCACAGCAAGGAGTTGTGGCCAACACTGCATTTAACGCCTAAGTGGCAGAGAATGGAGCAGTGAGTCTGCAGGGACATGATCTATTCGTTAAAAGGGACACTATAGTCACCAAAACAACGTTAGCTTAATTAAAAGGGACACTCCAGGCACCCAGACCACTTCTGCCCATTGGAGTGGTCTGGGTGCCAACTCCCACTACTCTTAACCCTGCAACTAATTATTGCAGGGTTAACTCCACCTCTAGTGGCTGTCTCTTGGACAGCCACTAGAGGGCACTTCCTGATTCATAGCAAAGATTTTCTTTGCTAGAGCATCGCTGGACGTCCTCACACTGTGTGAACACCTCCAGCGTTGCTCAATTCCCCATAGGAAAGCATTGAAAATCTTTCAATGCTTTCCTATGGGGAGACCTAATACGTGTGATGCGCATTAGGTTTCCTCAGCCGGCGGGATCAGTCTTGCCCACCGGCTGATGTAATTACTGGGAGGAGCGACGCTGACCCAAATTCCTGGTTCTTATACCCAGAAGACTGAGGCATAACTTGAAGCCACGCTCCAAAGTCTTCTATTTAGTGAGGTAAAGAGTCTTGAGTGGTAGGACATGGGGCTGGACTTCAGGCATAACAACTTCAGTAAGGTGAAGCTAAAGGGACACTATAGGCACAAGAACAACTTTAGCTTAATGAAGCAGTTTTGGTTTATAGGTCATGCCCCTGCAGTCTCACTGCTGAATTCTTTGCCATTTAGGAGTTAAATCACTTGTTTATGAACCCTAGTCACACCTCCCTGCGTGTGACTTGCACAGCCTCCCTAAACACTTCCTGTAAAGAGTCATCTACAATCTATCCTTCCTTTATTGCAAGTTCTGTTTCATTTAGATTTTATTATCCCCTGCTATGTAAATAGCTTGCTAGACCCTGCAAGAGCCTCATGTATGTGATTTAAGTTTAATTTACAGAAAAAGAGATACAATTGTTTAAGGTAAATTACATCTGATTGAAAGTGAAACCAGTTTTGCCCCCCCACCCCGACTGTGTCAATCAGAGTCAGGGGAGGTGTGACAAGGGCTGCATAAACAGAAACAAAGTGATTTAACTCCAAAATGGTAGTGAAACCTGAGAGGCATGATCTACACACCAAAACTGCTTCATTAACTAAAGTTGGTTAGGTGACTATATCGTAGAATAAAATTAAAGCGGTCCAGGCACTCCTTGGTTCAAGACAGGCACTTTATTGGAACCACAACAGCTTGACAAAGACCTTTCGGGTCGAAACATTGATGTTGTGGTTCCAATAAAGTGCCTGTCTTGAACCAAGGAGTGCCTGGACCGCTTTCATTATATTCTACTAATTGGGAATCTGGTGTTTGGTTCCAGTTCAGCAAGCACCCTGGCTCAGATTGATGGGAGTGAGTGCAGTTCCACACACACTACAAAAGGTGACTATATAGTGTCCCTTTAAGCTAAAGTTGTTCTGATGCCTATATAATAGGTATAGGTAACCTTTGGCACTCCAGATGTTGTGGACTACATTCCCCATAATGCTGGCAAAGCATCATGGGAGGCATAGTCCAAAACATCTGGAGTGCCAAAGGTTGCCTATGCCTGCTATGTAAGGAGTCAAGTATGCCAAAAGACTAAACTCTTCATTGACCACAGGCAGCTACAAAATACACTGAAAAGGCCAACTGCTGTTTGCTTTCTCTATAAACAAGGCAGCTCAGACAGAAGGATAATTAACCTGTAATTTAAAAAAAAAAAAAATAATAAAATTATATATTTGTGGAGACTGAACACACAGATCTGTCCAAACATTGTCTTTTGTGTACCAGTTTATTGAAGTATGCTTCACTTGTTAGAAGGCTTTATATCCAGTTACAAAGTGTCACTGACCATTTCAGCAAATCCAAGAATTTACCAGCAGAGATACCACACTATACACTTATCAGGTGTAATCACAAAAAAAAAAAAAAAAAACACACCCCGCATTTTCTCTTTTGATTTTCCAACATGCCTATTTAACGGTGAATTTTAGAATGTCCGGCTTTTTGTTTAGAATTAGGTTGAGAGAGGGTCATATCACAAAAGTATACCTATCTGAACCCAATATCAATTTGCTTTAGCCCCATGCATTTGTCACCATCTTCAAAGTTGTGATTTTATTACATTTATATTCTGACCGTGTGGTGTCAGAGGACAAATAGGCTTCAAAAATAAAAATGTCAGTTTGTGATTACACCATTTCCGGTGGTCTTAGGTACTTCAATGTTTATTAACTCCTGGAATAGAATTTTTGTGATAAGTGGTACTAGCAAGGAATGGTTGAGGAACCATTTTCTATCTAGTCCCATGGCGGCAAGAGGCTGGATATACAGACCTGACACTTCATGATAGATTAATTACTAAATGTTTGAACGAATGTGTTTCAGCCGGTACTAATCACTTTCCTTTCAATCTGCATGCAAAATAATCAAATCATTCCAGGATTTACCAGTAGCTTCCATTTATTGAACAAGACTCCACAGGCAAATCCTGTATGGATCGATTTGTTCAGGCAGTCTTATAGTTACTAGTTTCTTTCCTGATAAACGTTAAAACTTTTACCACTTTAGATTTTCTTTGTTGTCTTGGTGTTTGTATAATTCAATATGTATCCAATAGTTATAAAAGCCATAAACTCATTTCGGCATATTAGGGCATCAATTGCGTATTTATTTTTTCCCAATGCACTGCATGAACATTGCAATAAGCGTTTCATAATCTCATCTGGTATGCATGTTTGGCCAAACATCAAATATTGTGAGAAACTGCTTTTCAAAGAAGTGGTATTTTTTACATTGCACCGTACTTCTATATAGTCTAATTTTTAACATCCATATTTAAGGTTTGCTCATGAGTATTAGGCTTTAAAATAATTAGTTTTAAGCTTCTTTTAATGTTTGCATTACATGTGTGTTCTAAACATTAATGTTTTTCTTTGAAATAATATTTTGACCAGTAAGCTATATGCTTATAGGTTTCCTATAAAAAAACAAAACAAACAAACAAAAAAAAGTTCTCACCATGCAATGCCATTCACTGTGATTCACTGTTGGGAGCACATGCACACCTCTAAGACTGCTTTCTGTCATTGCAATATGAACATGGCATGGAGCAATCTTGAAAATTAAGTGCTTCGCCTGATGGTGAATCTCACAGAGCAGAGTTCTAGAGAATGCCTTGGGAGGAACAATTTTATATGAAGATTGTCCTTGAATTACTTTAAATTTCTTAGATGCATTACGTTTGGTATTAAAATAATAAAATATTGGTTAAAAAACAGCAAGTAGTGAGTCTGTATGTGACTGGTTGTTTTAAGACTTGCACTTCAGTGTACATGACCACATACAAATGCTTTCAGCACGTAAAACAAGACAATCTATATTTGAACATCTGGCAAATGAAAATGAAAGGAATATGTTCACTTTATGGATGTTTTTATTTCTTTAAAGGAAGCCAATTACACGTGGGTCGTCTTTTTGTTGAAATATGAAAAGACTACACCATTCAGGGACAAAAAGCCAAATGTCACGCTAGTTCTAGTGCCCCCCCTCCAACAGTCTAAACTTAAAGATAAAATCATCCCCATTAAAGGTTTAAATACTTACAAATCAAGCTGAACAATTTTACGTTTATCCAAATATTAGCACAACCACACGATTATAAATTTCGAAAAAGAATTGTTAATGGCTGTCAAACAAATGTTACGGATCAAGACTCAACCATCTGTGTGTTACATCTTCAGATGTGACAAGACAATATTCTAACAATGCTGGGCTTTGACTATCAATACAATTTTAAAAACACAGACAATAAGAAAGATCAGGTAACAGTAATATTTGGCATTTTTAATTTAGGTTTGTTTATTTAAGTTTAATGTTAATTCCATGCTGTGTTTCAGTAAGAACAATTACAGATTCTGTATCTGTGGCTCCAGTCAGATATCCAGTAGTACAAATTAGCTTCAAGTTACACATACTGAACGAAAGATAGGTTGAGCAAGAGAAGGGGAGAGAGGGGAGAAGATAGAAAAACAGAAAAAATAATAAAAATAATAAATTTAAACACGCATGCAGGCTATTCAACACCAGCTCCAATGCTAACCTGCTCTGAGGAGAGAAAAGTAAAAAGACGGCAAGAATGAATAAACTCGGATTGTTGACGTGTTACCAGCACCAGAGTTTTCAGCAACATTTTTGCACAGTTTGAAAACACTTTTACAGCAAAATCACTACAAGGACATTCTGAAGCAATCTGCAACGTCAAGCTCTAACCACATTTTAAACAATAGTATGAATTTTAACTCAAAACATTTATAAAATAAAATAAGCCACCACACAAATTCTACAGTGCGATTGACTCTGGTCTGCCCTAAAGAGTAACGTCTTTTGCTCATTCTATGTGTTTCTAAGAGTTTATAGTGCTGGATGGCACGGAGACAATCTAATGCTGAAAAAGCCTCTATGCAGTCCTGTTAGTGTCTTAAAGAACCTAAGATGGCTGGCAGCAGCAGCAAAATCCCCAGTCATTCACTCTTGCCTTTAAGAATTCTTAAACTGTGTAAAAATGATACACCCAACTGGGCAGGAACCTAAATCCTGAGAACCAGTGTAAAAGTCAAATTTTGATGGTCCTCAGAGTGAGACGGGATATTTGGAGGGAAGGGGCAGTTGGTTAGAGGGTCTCTTCTTGGCTTTTATGGTTTCACGGATTTTCATCTTCCACATCCTGCAGTGCTTCTTTATTCTGTTCCTCTCCTGAAACATGGCAATATAAGAATCCATTATGAGAAAAGGCTTGTACTAACATCACAATCATACATCTTGAAAAAGCCAATTACTTTCCAGTAGCTAAACTTACAAAGCCACAATGTTAAACACCCCTAAAAATTACAGTTAATTGGCATAAGGCAGAGTGAAAACATCCCAGTTTTGCCACCAGGAACAGAAAATCTTGAAATTAAACATACCAAATCACCACATCATTTTCAACTAGGTAAGAAAAAGCTTTTATTTTTATTTATTTATTTTACACACAGCAAATCAGTGGGTGATACTTTTCAGAGTCATTCTAAACACCAATACTACTTTGCATTATAGTTGATGGTGCAGACAAAGTGTGAGTCGTTTAAAAAAACCAAAACAAGCTGCTGTCATTTGGGGAGAAGGAAATTCTCTGTACAGCCCTACGTCAGGCAACCCGAATGAACCCAGTTCCAGTTGTCAGATAAATCAAATTCATTAATCAAGCTGTGTGCATTCTGAAAATATGGCGGCTATCTATTTATAAAGCATTTCCACTAACCCCTGGTGATAAGTAGATATGCTTGAAACCACATAAACCACTGTAGGAAGATGTGTGGAAGAGGTTGTTGGGAGATCAGTTAAACATGGTTTGCAGGTTTTATTGCCAAATATAGATGAGGACCTAATTGACAATGTCCAATGGGGCATATTAACTTTAAAGTGCAATGTTTTAAAAGCGGTAGCTGTAAGCCTTTAAAGGAACACTATATTGTTAGTAATACAAGTCTGTATTTTTAACACTATAGTGCCGGACTACCCATTTAGGTGTCCACCCCTCCCCTCCAGAATGGAGTTAAAAGGAAGTTTACTTACTTTTCTCAACTGTCACAGCTGGCCCCACCTCCATGGCGGAGATAATCTTTATTTCAGCCAGTCCAATGCTTTCCCATAAGAGTGCATTGAGAGGCTATTGCGCATGCACTGCAAAAACGCCAAGAAGAAATCTCCTCAGAGATGCACTTAAAGCATTAGAGCTCTATGCTCTGCATGGAGAAGCAGAACGTAGGTGCCTCATCCAGCGCAGCACTGAAATATGAAGCATGTCTAGAGGCCCTCTGAGGGACTGCCACTAGAAGTGTTGAAAGGCAGCAATATAAACATTGCCTTTTCTCTGTAAAGGCAACATTTACATTTCTGGGCCTACAGGAACATGCCCTATACACCAGAAGTACTAAATTAAGTTTTAGTGGTCCTGGTGACTATAGTGTCCTGTTAACTTACATTTGCAGCAGTCAAAAATATATCCAACATAAGACTACCCATTAAAATTTGTGTGAGAAAACCTATAAACTTTTGGCTGTTCCCATAAATCAGATGGAATGACTTGTGCAACTAATGAATTGTACCAAAGTTTGTATAGAGGGCTCTTCTTATTTCCACAGCATTCATTCCATCATTTTCCAGTGAATTATCAGACTATTAAAAGGATCATAATACTTATAAAGACCTAATGTCCTGGGCAGAGTTAATTACTGGGAGTAAGGTTACAGTGGGATTAAAGGGACATGCATCACTAAACTATTTTATAAACCAAAATAAAAGAAATCCATCAAAATGTGTTTGCTGGTTTATATAATAAAAAAAAAATTACTACAAATTTGCTCAGATTGTATTTATGGGCACACCTCTTAGCGAAGGATGTTTATTGAAATTCCCTTCCCAGTCCTCATACCTGTCCACTAATGATTGATACCGAACATAATTGTGCAGCAGCAGGAGAGAGAAACACCAGAGCCTGATCAAACTCCCTCTTCTCCCCCTATCAGGATGTTGCAAGGTGAAGAGATCCTCTAACTGCACATATGTTAAACTGTCAGAAATGCCCAATGCACTTCTCCAGCATTCCTTCACCCGTGGAATGATTGGGAAAGTATAAGAAGCAAATAAAATATACTCTTTTAAAAAATAAATAAATAAAAATTCTTTACAGTCTGCAGAGTGAGGCAACTGAATTAAAATGAAAGTTTTTGAACAAACAGTTTTAGAGTGATGCACGTCCCTTTAAGCAGAAAAGAAATCCAAACTGAACAACTCTGTACCTAATGGGCAGTTGACATCACCATTGTACCAAGATATTCTGTTTCTTTGATTTTCTACATTCCCAGCATACTTGCAAAAGATGCCAGGGTGAATGTCATGCATCTGATGCAAATGTAAACATTTTATCCAATTTCAAGTTCAGCAAAGACTGGTCTTGGAATCAATGCCTTAAAAACCCAAAGACATAAAAAGTTATACCAAACCAGACATTAAGGAACATTCCAAATCCATAAAGCGTTTCAGCACCAAGCCAGTGCTGTGCTCCTCCTATGAAATAGAAGCCAGTGGTGAGAATGGAGTGTGACTTCACTCACAGTGCAATCGCTAGAGGTGTATTTAAACCCAGGGGTAAAGCACCACTATAGTGCCAGGAAACTATAGAGCCGCGCACGCATTCAGTCAGTCTATAGGAAAGCATTTCTTCAAGCTTTCCTATGGACGTCAGCGTCTTCTCACTGATTTTCACAGTGAGAAGCGCCTCTAGCGACTGTCAATGAGACAGCCACTAGAGGCTGGATAAACCCTAGTGTAAACATAGTTTCTCTGAAACTGCTATGTTTACAGCTGCAGAGTTAGCCCTAGATGGACCACCATAGTGGTCCTTTAAGGACCATTGCATCCAGACCACTTTAATGAATTCAAGGAGATTAAGTGGTCTATGTGCCTTTATAAAAACATCCACTGCTTGTTTATATGCATAGCATGCTCCACTGCCATTCTGCATGGTGGCAGTTTACCTACTTAAAAAGGGATATTATAGGCATCAAAACAACTTGCTTTAAAAAGGGACACTCCAGGCACCATAACTTCATTTAAATGTAGTTATGGGGCCAGGAGGTCTCTGGGCGTACTCTTACCTTAAGGGTTAACCTCAAAGTAAGCCTGCAGCTCGGATCTCAACTTCCCCTAGGCAGCACCTGGCTTCTGAAATCACAGTTCCAGGGTAGAGGTGCCGCTGATTGGCTTAGAACAGTCAACGGACATACCTTTTGAAGCCAGTTTTATAAATGAGGAGTCACTGATTGGCTCAAAGTGCCAGTACACCAGTGGTGCCCCTGCGTGGCAGCACCCTGTGCTTCCAGAAACAGATTTCAGAAGTCAGAGGCCATTGAGATTACTTTGGGGTTAACCCCTTGTGGTAAGAGTGTCCAGGGGGCTCCTGGCACCATAACTTCATTTATATTAAATTATAGTGCCTAAACTGTCCATTTAATGAGGAAGTTTTTGTATATAGATGATGCCCCTGCAGTCTTCAATTAGCTGCCATTTAGGAGTTAAAACTTGTTTTTCTTCTACGCAGTCCTAGCCAGGTTGTCAGTCCATAGCCGTGACTGACAACCTACATGAAAAAAAGGCTTCGTTTCAATCAGATGTTAACTTTCTTTAGACGTTTTTATCGCCTGCTCTATAAATTTAACTTAAATTACATACAGGAGTCTCCGGCAGAGTCTAGAAGGCTGTGCAATTTACATTCTGGGAGGTGTGACGGAGACGGCATAAACAAAGTACTTTAACTCCCAAATGGCCGAAAATTTAGCAGTGCTAAAGTGGTTTTGGTTTCTATAGTGTTCCTTTAAGAGAAAGCTCACAAAAAGCTAAGATGGTAACAAAAGCAACACAAATATAAAATTAGATTTATAAAAATTTAGCAAGAAAAACCTATTCAGCACTCAATGATATATATAAAAAAGAAGCACATTAGTGAAATCTTTTTCAAAAATAAAATCAATGGCCAAATTTAAAAAGCATGCGGTTTGCATTAAAATCAAATTAAAACCACACAACACTCATTTGCACAGCACTGCTGTTAGTTAAATATTAATTCAATAACTCTGAAGTCATTAACTGTTCAAAATACAATGGGTAATAAAATTCAAACGAAAACCCTTCATTCTAAGAAAGGAAAGACTCTGGTCAGTGTGGGTTATGTTGCTGCAAACAAGATTTGAGGATGTGTTTAACCCCTGAATTCTTGTTCAGTAGTAGTAACGTGGTAGCCCTCCAGTAATTTCAGGAGAACATTTCCATATCATAGGAGTTGTCATATCCAAGACAGCTGGATATCTACAAATTGGCAACTCCTGTTCTTGGTTTAGGCCAGCTAATGCCACTTAATGAAGAGGAAATTATGTTAAGGCACAATCACCAATGTGATTAAAAACTTATTTGTTACATGGCTGTTTAACAAGGAGGAGTGTTTGCAACCAGAACTATGGTCTAAAGCATGCAGTGTCATTTAAGGGGCATTCAAAAATCTAAACCAAGATTGGGATTGGTAAGGTCATGCAGAGACATTTTGTGCTTTCCATCTAGCAAAACAAATATTTTAATTCTCAAAAACAATCCATTGACATACAAAGTGCCAACATTTGCCAGATATGGAGGACACAAAACAGACATAAGACAAAAAGATGCAGGTGTTATAATGAAAAAGTAACAAGGCAATTTCTTGGGCAGTCAACAAATGAACTTACAAAGAGTATTTAAGAAACACTTGGGTTTTCCTTTAGGAATCTACACAAAAAAGGGGAGAATAGGATTGTGTGAAAGATTAAAAGCATAAAAGCACAAATGAAGGGGGAAAAAAAAAATATTTAAGTATCTTCAGTGTTTCCAACCACGTGTGCACCGCTGTGATAGTGAAAGCGTGAGGACAAAGGTGACCAAAGATGAATATTTTAGCCAGATCAGCCTTGTATAAGAAAATGCACAGAATGTCCACTAACAATATTCATAATCACCGAGTTGCATCTTAAAATGATTAAACATCCAGCAAAAAAGTTATACTTGGAAAACAATGGATATTTTGTTCATTGTTGAGTTTCATCCTTATCTTCCTCAGTTCTGTAAATTAAGCTGTTATAAGTAGTGATGTCCCGAACGGTTCGCCGCGGACTAATGATATCATTCCAGCCAATCAGCAGCAGACCCTCCCACCTCCTTGACAGCATCCATTTTTAAGCTGCATTCTTAGTGAGCTGTCCAGGAGTTGGGAGGGTCTGCTGCTGATTGGCTGGAATGATGAGTCCGCGGCGAACCGTTCGGGACATCACTAGTTATAAGCCAGTGACTCAAAAATCTGCCTCCACTTCACTAGGATGGCCTTTTTAATTTGTTTGTAATTTTTTTGCAGAATTGCTTATGGTACATCACATTGCTGTATTCCAACTCACAACCAGTAACAAGGACAAAAAGATTTTATACACTTAGAATTTACCTCTAGGTCCAAAAAAACTAAAGAAATGTTCTTACCATCGCCTTGCATATCTGAAGTCCATAGTGTCAGATTATCACGTAACAATTGCATGATAAGCGTGGAGTCCTTGTAACTTTCTTCACTCAGTGTGTCCAGTTCTGCAATAGCATCATCAAATGCTGCTTTTGCCAACCTACATAAAACAGATCAATAATTAGCTGAAATTGTAACAATTGCGTTCAAGTTGTTTCTCTGGATAGCATAATTTATGGCCAACCTGTAATAGTCAGGATAAGCAGACATTGGTTAATTAACTTGTAGCTCTGTTCCCCTTATCTCAACATATCTGATTTATTGCTGTGACCTTAACCAGGATTAAAGGACATGATCTGTCAATACTAAAGCTGCTTATCTACAGAAGAACACTGCCAACTAAAACATTCTGTCCACTTTCTTCCCATCTCCAGCTATGTCCATTTAGTACTTCCAAATCGAAAAGGGCAGTTAAATTTCAGTATTGATAGTGAACAAGGACTTGCAGTATACATTAGTGTTTAAAGGGACACTATAGTCACCAGAACACCTACAGGTTATTGTATTTGTTCTGGTGAGTAGAATCATTCCCTTCAGGCTTTTTGCTGTAAGCCCTGTCTTTTCAGAGAAAAGGCAGTGTTTACATTACAGCCAAGTGATAACTTCCCTGGAAACTCCTCAGATGTCTGTTAGAGATCCTTCCTGGGTCATGGCTGCCTAAAATGCACCCAACATTCAGTGTCTCCTCCCTCTGCATGCAGACACTGAACTTTCCTCATAGAGATTCATTGATTCAATTCATCTCTATAAGGAGATGCTGATTGTTCAGGGCTGTGTTTGAATCATTCTGGCTCTGCCCCTGATCTGCCTCTTTGTCAGTCTCAGCCAATCCTATGGGGAAGCATTGTGATTGGATCAGGCTACCACTTTTGCTGATGTCAGCAGGCAGTCGGCAGGTCTACAGGAAACGGGAAGAAAACCTGCAGCTCGAGAATTTAATACAAGTAAGATTTTACTATATTAGGGGCATGATGGGCCAGATGGTAGTTTTACCCCTATAGGGTCAGGAATACATGTTTGTGTTCCTGACCGTATAGTGCTCCTTTAAGATACACTTACAGTTCATATGTACTCATTCCATGTAACATTTGAATCAACATATATTAAAAATAAATCAGATTATTAAAGTAGACATAGAAACTGCATAAAACAACTTTGAGCGAATGCAGGGTACATGCATGCCAACGGTAGCACTGCATCTGCAAAGCTTCTAGAAGAAAAGCATTGTTGAATCTAATGCTTCTCTATAGGAAGTACAACTTTCCTCTTTATGCTGGGTCACAAAGCTCCCAGAAGAAAAAAAAAAAGAAAGAAAAAAAAATCTTATGGATCTTTCTCTTAAAGTGTTAGCTGTTGTGGAATCTTTGAACCCTGCAGGACTTGTCAGCTAGGCCAAGAAGCAGGTAAGTCGGTGGGTGCAAGCTAAATCAAGCTTCAGGAAGTGAAAACCCTTTGCCAGTGTACAGGAGAAGCGCACCTCTCACTAGTTGATGATTCTGGATAGTTACAGGTCAGATTCGAGATTCCCATTTAGCAACTTGATATTTTAATGACAGATTTGCTTGGCCATGCACAATTTGCAGCAGTTGGGAAACACTAATTGAGCTACATTTTTTAGAACCAGTTCTCCACTGCAGAAAATGGTTAGTCAACCTGGAAATGCAGTAGTGAATAAGCCTCCACCCAAGGAGAACATATTCTTATGAGCACTCAGTCGTCATTTATTATTCCTGTTATTTTTCCCCCCCCAGTGAACCACCTTTTGAACCAAAGAAGGACTTTCCTATGCACATTTATAATGGGTCACTTCCCAAAAGAGGAACAAATGCAAAATTTCCTCTCTCTCGCCTAGCCTTTGGCGTGTAGAAATTTAACATGCCGAATGTGCCACTGACTCCAGGCTTGTAGAGGCAAATGGTATATGGCTTAATTTTAAGCCCTGACCTTAGTGCTTCCTCTCCCCTCAATCTCCATTTAGTACAGCAACCTATAATTGGTTAGGTCTAACATAACTGCAGACATCAACCTAGTTTACCCTAAACATCCTTCAATTGGAACAATTCAAGGACACGATCTACCACATTCCTTCTTCTCAATGCCCCCTCTAACCTTTGCTGGAGCAATATGTTCAGATGGATACAGATACTATGTAGTCAACACCATGTAACAGTTCTGCTTAAAGGATCACTAGTGTCAGGAAAACAAAGCAGTTTTCCTGGCACTATAGTGCCGAGGGTGCCCCCACCCTCAGGGTCCCCCTCCAGTGGCGCTGAAGGGGTTAAACCCCATTCAGCCACTTAATCCAGCACCGGGCTCTCTCGGCGCTGGCGACCTCTCCTCCCCCACGACAGCTCCCGAGTGGAGCGGAATGCGCATGTGCCGCAAGTGCCGTGCGCGCATTCAAAGGGTCCATAGGAAAGCATTTCTCAATGCTTTCCTATGGACGCTCTGTGCGACTGAGGCGAAACTCTCCTTCAGCGTCGCAGATGCGCCTCTAGTGGCTGTCCGGAAGCCACTAGAGGCCGGATTAACCCCAAATGTAAACATAGCAGTTTCTCTAGAACTGCTGTTTACATGTGAAGGGTTAAAACCTGAGGGACCTGGCACCCAGACCACTTCATTGAGCGGAAGTGGTCTGGGTGACTATAGTGTCCCTTTAAACAGTTACTCCAAGCACTAGATCATTTTAGTGTTTTGGTGACCATAGTGCAAGGACCCTGTATGTCTAACATTTCAGTATGAAATGCTGCACATATTAACATATTTTACGTTAGCCAGCCTGGAACTTTTTAATCTGAATTTTGTTCAGACATTCATTCACTGGCTAAGAACGTCCGGCTGATTCTCTCAGCCTATGAATGACTATCTACATCGGAATCTAGCCTCTGCTGGTCTGCAGAACCCAGATATGACCATTCCAGCATTGAGGGAGGTTCAATGCACTGTGGGAGTCAAGTAAGAGCCAACTGCTGAAAGAATGTTTGCCCCCTTCTACAAAACAGTGCCATCGTACTACTCACATCACGGAGTGAGCAGTCATGGTTTTGATTTTCCAAGAAACCCTTTAATATACAGAATGCTAGCTTGGGCGTCTCCCTTTTATGAATAAACCCGAGGGCGCTTTGGTAGGACACGGAAATGGAAAAAAATAGTTTAGAAGGGATATCAATCTATGTCTTTAATTTGCTTATGGCACATCAAAATAAAGATTTTTTTTTTTTATTACGCATCACTTCACTTACCTGCAGGCACGGTCAGGGGAATTAAGAATTTCATAGTAAAAGACAGAGAAATTAAGTGCGAGACCTAAACGAATGGGATGTGTTGGAGGAAGTTCTGTCATGGCAATATCACTTGCAGCTTTATAAGCAACCAAGCTGTTTTCTGCAGCTTCCTTCCGGTCGTTTCCTACGGCAAACTCTGCCAGATATCGGTGGTAGTCTCCTTTCCTGAAAGCAGAACAACAAAATGGAGGTAAAATTAACAACCAAGCTGTGACGTAAAAGTTTTTTTTTGCAGCAAGTTAGCTCTCAAATGACTGGTACAGGTCCCTAAAAGCTAGAACTAGCACAGTGCTATCATATCTAATTGCTTTTCACATTTCTATGAACAGAGCTGCTCACTTCCACTTGTGATTAGTAAGAAAATCTATCGAGCAGTTAAAGGGACACTCCACTACCTAAATATCACCATTTACTAGATAAAGCCCAAACGAAAACATGTATGAGAAGACTTTGCAAGGCAGGAGCTCTGGGCAATTGCCTGCCTCGAGTTTAAGTCTACTGCGCTAAACAACCAGGAAGTAACAGGACTGGCTGATTGACAGCCAGGGGTGTGTTTTAATGTTAATTTATAAATGTGGAAAAGAAGGTGCAGCACCTGAAGTGTCCTTCAGGGAATGATGCAATGACAAAAAAGAAAATACAAATAACACTGAGAGTAGCAAGTTAAAAACTTCTTGCCAGAGTAAGGGGAATAAAAATTGTACACTCACAGTCCTTTTTGTCATTGCATACATTCCCTAAATGACACTTCAGGCGCTGAACCTTCTTTTCCTGTTTTATCCTACCCCCTATCGGACGAGAGAGACTCCGCTTTTGGTGATCGAGCTGCCTTTGGACTATATCAGTATTGTACAGGAGATGAATTTCAGTTTTTATCCAATTTATAGATGTATATAAAAAGAAAAAAAAGTATAACAAAAAAAAAAAAACACCAAAGTTTTAAAGACTCATTACTAACTAACATTGAAATGATCCTTCTGCCATATACACAAAACATGCACCTTGGGTCAGACAGTGTTTGTCTTTCACTTCCTGCACAGAAGGGAAGACTAAATAGCAAGACCATAGAGGCGGTCAGTTTTGAAATACTATCCGTCCAAAAGTATATGGCAGAAGCGAGCGAAAGTGCTTTAGGGTTCTGGAGTGTTCTTTAAAATAAAATACACAGACATTTCATACGAGAGGGGCTTATTCTTGGGTCGGAAAGAAATCTATGGGAGAGCATGACAGAGGTAGATACAACTCATGTGGCAATCATACAATGCAAATGTCTTATAAGTCCCCGCAAAGGGAAATGTACTGCTTCCCCAATGTATTTGAAGTTGTTTGTGGGAAAGGGGAAGATGCAACTAATTCAGTTCTAAGCAATGGAGTGCAGGAATACATATGGCTTCTTGCAATCATAATCCATGCAAATAACTTCGGTTTTGCCAATTGGAGTGTCCTTTTATGAAAGACCCTTTGTACTTTAAAAATTATCAACAACCTCCCCTTTTCTGAATAACATTTATTTAGGTTAGGCAATATGTAGAACACAGAAAACCAGTAACTTCACAGTAATCTAACATCCTTCCCAGTTTCATTTAAAAACAGTAACATGTTTCACACTAAAGAACCAGCAGTATGGTAAATGGCATTATTTGTAGTCTGCCCCAAATATTTACTCGATTTCCAATTCATTTTTTCCATTTACCCAAATCACGGAATACACCAACGAGAACAGATGTGAAAGATCTGTTCATATTTTTCTATTTAAATTGCCTAAAATGGTTCTGGTAACAAAATAAGAAAATATACCAGAAAGCCACAAGGTATGCGAGCACCATTTTTATTTTTCCTTTGTGAATAGCCACCAAGCAAACTATTAAAGTGTCTGCAGACAAAGCATGCAGTCTAGTGGTCACATAACTGGATATGTTCCTGTATTGCATTGTTAATGTCTACATACAATCAGTGGTAATCAGACAACACTGCATTAGTTGCTCTAAATCAAAGCATATTATAATGATGGTTGTCGGAAGTAAGTGAACTTATACCAAGGAAAGATGTCAAGTCAAATGAAAATTGAACAGGGGTGGAATAAGTTTTACATAATATTGCAAACAGTTCATACGTTGTACTTACATTTTATAGTAAAAAACTTTGGACTCCCCAGTGGTTGCAGCTGGAATGAGGTGTTTGTCCAGTACATCCAGAATGTCATTACAGATGGATTTCAGCTCTGACTCAACCTGAAGAAGAAGAAGAAAAAAAAATAAAAATAAGTCAACTTAGCATATTTGCCAAAGTAATTAAAGCACATCTTATGCTCTATAAATGTAATGGGTAAAAAAAAACACCACATAGGTTTTGAACATAAATACAATATTTAATAGAATTATAAATGTATTCCAATTTACATAAACTGCCATTAACCATATACAAGCAATTTGGGGCTGATCAGATTTCAGCAAGGGTGACAATTAATCTTCCTCAAAGCCAAATTGTGACAGTTTCTCAGGTATGCATTGAGGGTGTACATTTAAAAAAAAAAAGCCTGCAAAAGCAGTATTTCTCATGTCTGAAGCATTCACGAACCCTCTCATTCTAACCCTGCCCAGACTGTCCGTGGCTGTCCAATCAGACTTCCCAGTGAGAAGTATTTGCAAGCCTGGTGCTCAGAGTTATTTCATGCATTTTGAGTTAAGCTACACAGAGCTAAACAAACCAGTTCATATCAAGACATGCCCGCTTAAAAGCAAGGAAGAGGGGATTGCAACAAAGTGAATTTATACAAGTGCCAATTTCTATTGAAACCTTTTTGTAAAATAAGGAAGAAAAAACCAAAACCAAAACAATAAGTGCTTTAGGGGTTCGGAGTGTCCCTTAAAATTGTATCACGCCAAGTTTCCTTAAAAAGGTCATAAAGAGACTATAGTCCTCAAAACAACCATCTAAATGAAGCAGTTTTTGTGTATAAATCACACCCTGCAGTCTCCCTGTTCAATTCTCTGCCATTTAGGGGTCAAATCCTAGGACAGTAGGTCCCGTCCCCCCCCCGATTATCATTATGGCTGCCGCCCAGGGGTGGGGGGAGAAGGCCAGTAGGTCCCCCCACCCCCCCCATATTATCATCATTGCCCCCACCAATCGCCCAGGGGTGGGGGGCGGATAGTTTTTTTTTTTTTGTGAGCAGCCCACTCACTGCTCACTGGACATGCATTGGGGAGATTTTAATCTCCCTTGTGCTATTATGGGAGTCATATTGACCCCCATAGAGTGAGGGAGGACATGGGGGACTTAGGAAGTGGTGGGGAGCACTGCTCCCTGCAGCTTCTATCTTTACATATTACAAGGAGGGAGCTGCGTGCTGGTAGCTCCCTCCTTGTAATAAACTGAACAAACAAGCGATCACTGATACACAGTGTTAGTTTGTTCGTCTAATTTTTCTATTCATTCGTCTGTCTGATGAATGAATGAATGAATGGATGAAATTCCTGTTCGCATGTCCAGGTGTTTAACTGGGCATGTGCAGGAATCTCACAGTCCATCTAGTGTGGGCTGATGACGTGTCCAACAGGGACTTCATCGACCCACACAAAGATGGCGGCGCCCTGAATAAAGAAAGATCGGGGCAGAAAATAAAGATAAAAAATAGGTAATGTGGGGGACTTAGGGACATTTGGGAGTGACTAAGGTGTCCATTAGAGATAGTGGAGGCGGGTTAAAAAAGCAAAACAGGATTCGGCAAGACAGTGCCGCTTTAATGCATGTTTTCCAGTGGCAAGTACATTTTGAAGCCTGGCTAGAAGTGCAGGACTTGAAATGTTACGATCCAATATCTTTGAATTTAGTGGGTTTTTTTGTTTGTTTTTTTTTTAAACATCCACAGTCCAATCTATATTATAGGGGACACTACTGCCCAAATGGGCAAAAAACAAAAACAAAAAAAAAGTCATAATACATCCATGCATTCATTAGGGGGTATATCTTAAAAGATCTTACAAAGCTGCAGCCTTTGCAAGCCCATACCTTTTTCCTTTAAAAGAGACCAACAGTCTCTTCAGGGAGAAATTGCCTATCAGAGGCTTCTAGTCCCTCCATGCATGCACAACGCTAGCACATAAGGAATGTGTCTAACTTGGGTTAAAGAGCAATGTTCTACAATGTAAATTCTCGATGCACAACCTTCGTTATTTTAAATGTTTAAAAGCAAAAAAGAATTTACTTTGTGGACACACAGTTTCCTTTCATCACTTATGGGGGCAATGCCCTAAAAACTGTTGCGGAGTGGGAGAGGGTGGTACTCCCCTCCCAGCTTAGAGTGGCCAGTGTCTCATAACAGGGCATTCAGTTACTGCAACAAGCAGTGGACATTGAGAGCCTCCATGCCCCCTGGCACGAGAGGTAAAATCAAAAGGAGGGGGCACATCTTTGTGAATGTGACATGCAGATACCTTGTCTTACCCGACCATGTTATTTTACAACAAGTATATATTTATTACATGAGTAAAAAGTGTCGCCATAGTTCCCCGGCGGCTGTGATCAGTTTTAGGAGGTAAGTGTGCATGTATGGCAAATCTATATGCTGTGCCAATCAAATGCTCTCTATGAAGAATTGATTGAATAACATAGTCTAACTCTTATTAGAATAGAAGCCCCACTAGCAGCTGTCAGGAAAACAACTAGGGTTCTGTTTAATCAGGCTATGAAAACAGCAGAAAAAAAAAAAAAAAAAAAAGTTAAAACAGGGGCACTGCACAGAGATTAAATGGTCTGGGTGCCTTTAATGTCCCTTTAAACGAGCAGTTTAACTCCTTAACAACTCAACTTATGGGGCCTGGAGTACCTTACCTTAAAATGCTAATCCTGTCGTACCCTCAGCTATTAGGGAAGCATTGGTATATATCTCAACCTAGCTTTGGCTGGCCATTGCAAGTTCTATGCACTATCATTTAGAATGGATCTGGTTGATTGTTATTGCTGTTAAGACACAATGCAATGCCAAATACAGACTACATTTTTCATTCTTGGGTCACTGCATACAACTCACTTACATGCGCCATTTACTTCTAACCCTAGTTTTTCTTTTCATGGTTATCCAATTTGTTATATTGGAACTGCTCAACAGAAGCAAACTTGTTTGTTATTTGTTTTTATATATACACACACACACACACACACACACACACACACTTAATATCTTATGTTCCAACAACATTTAATGCTAACCCATAAACATTAAACCTCAACCAACTCCAAAACCAAATACAAAAAATAGATTGAAAAAGGTACACTACGAAAATCTAGCAAAATAAAAATAGACTTCCACAGCATATTTTCAATTAAACATTTCAATTCTAACCATAAACAGATAGATCAAACTTCTGATCCCAAAGTCCTTTCTTAAAAAGATTTGCCACTTTCGCCCCAAACCTAAGCCAGTATAAGCCAGACAATTTTTAATAAAAATGCATATCATATATTTAGAAATTCCCACTCAACACATTCAAAAACACTAAAACACCAGCGTACCCAATTGGAAACTCATAATGATGCAAATATCTACACACAGATGGGCATTCACAAACTCCATTCATTTACAGCTGTTCAACTGTCAATGGCACAAGGGTGTTTGTGAGTTACAAGAAGGTCTGCAGTTTGTCATTAGTGGCCAACAAGCGAAAAGGTTGTCTCAATGCTCCTGCTTCATATGACAAGCTCCCGACAAAGTCTAGGTCGGAGTGCCATGGAATATTGCATCTATTTCAGGAGCAGAACTGCTTCAAAGTGTTTTTGATGCGGTGTAGTTTATATGGGCTTTTCAAAGGAAATCATCCTTTGATTTCTCCATATCACTGCATACAAGCAGGCTGATAAATTCAAAGTGTTAGGTGTAATTTCTGCCTAGAGCCCTTTATAAACACTGCCCTAATAACCCATTTATTGAAAATAGCCATCACTATGTAATAATGGAAAATGGGGTACCTATAAACACCAGCTCCAAATAGGCTACCAAAAATGGTCAAGCTCTTCCTAAACTGCAAACATACATAGGGACAAGCAAATTGACCTTATTGAGTCTGCATCGAGATTCCATGGCAGGTTCTATTACAGCAGACTTAAAGGACCACTCTAGGCACCCAGACCACTTCAGCTTAATGAAGTGGTCTGGGTGCCTGGTCCAGCTAGGGTTAACCCATTTTTTTTTTTAAACATAGCAGTTTCACAGAAACTGCTATGTTTATAAATGGGTTACTAAAGCCTCTAGTGGCGGTCTCATTGACAGCCGCTAGAGGCGTTTGCGTGCTTCTCACTGTGAAAACCACAGTGAGAAGACACAAGCGTCCATAGGAAAGCATTTTGAATGCTTTCCTATGAGACTGGCTGAATTCGCGCGCAGCTCCTGCCGCGCATGCGCATTCAGCCGAAAAGGAGGAGAAGAGGCGGAGAGGAGAGCTCCCCACCTGGCGCTGGAGAAAGGTAAGGTTTTAACCCCTTCCTCTCCCCAGAGCCTGGCAGGAGGGGGACCCTGAGGGTGGGGGCACCCTCAGGGCACTATAGTGATCCTTTAACATGTCACCCCCCCCTCCTACTGCTTTGTCAAGTATTTTTCATACGTTGAAAAAAAAAAACTTTTTTTTTTTTTTAAGGGGGAGGTGCGATCGCTATCAAGCCAAATCCTGTGGCATCCTCGGTACACCGTGTTGGCTCATACAAGATGACGCACCAGTAACGAAAGAGGGTGCTAAAGGAGGATGCTGCTGGCAGGCTCGGCATCACTAAACGGTTTACTTGCCATTTATCAGGGTTGCTAGGATGGGCAATGAGTTGACAACCTGTACAATGTATTAAAGGAAAACTAGTCACCTAAACAACTTTAGCTTAATGAAGCACTTTTTGTGTATAGATCATGCCTCTGATTTCACTGCTCAATCCACTAATCCATCTCTTTCTGTAAATTAAACTTTAATCATACAGGAGGCTCTTGCAGAGTCTAGCAAGCTATTTACATAGCAGGGGATAAGAAAATCTAAATGAAACAGAACTTGCAATAAAGGAAGGATAGACTGTAGATGACTCTTTACAGGAAGTGTTTAGGGAGGCTGTGCAAGTCACACGCAGGGAGGTGTGACTAGGGTTCATAAACAAAAGTGATTTAACTCCTAAATGGCAAAGAATTCAGCAGTGAGACTGCAGGGGCATGATCTATAAACCAAAACTGCTTCATTAAGCTAAAGTTGTTTTGGTGCCTAGTGTGTCCCTTTAACTTCACCTTACTGAAGTTGTTATAATGCCTGAAGTCCAGCCCCATGTCCTACTCCTCAAGACTCTTTACCTCACTAAATAGAAGACTTTGGAGCGTGGCTTCAAGTTATGCCTCAGTCTTCTGGGTATAAGAACCAGGAAACTTACTTCCCAGCTCTTATACTGTAATACCATGCACAATCTCTATGGAATCATTGTAGGCGCATTGAGTGAATGTCGCACATGCGCCTAAGTTCCCCGATGCTCCTATGGAGGAGGCGGGGTTAGACAAGGCGCTGAGAAAAGAGGAGTCAAAAAAAAAAAAAAATCTAAAACAGTTGGCAAAGGGCATCAGAGCTGTAGCATTAGAAATACAGATCTGTATCCTTAACGTTACAGTGTTCCTGTACAAGCATATTAAAATGTTATAAGAGTGTTCGAAAAGGTTTACAATAGAAGTTGGCAAGGATAAGTAAGATTACTATATTGGAATCCAAGATAAATTATTTCCGTACTACATAAGCAAAGCGTACAGGAGACAGAGCGTAGTAAGTTTATAAGGTATAGTTTAACAAAATATGGGCCACCCAACACAAAATCCTGAATTTGACCAAATTAAATTCTAGTGGAATGTCGGCCCTGAAATATAGACCGCAACGAGAGCTTTGTAAAGAAGAATGAACCAAATTATCTAAATCGATAAGCAAAATGGACAGTGTGAAGTCATTGGTGCTCAAGCAGCTTCCACTACTTAAAGGGGGTGGGGTGGATGTCCTAAGAAAGTTAAGTGGAGGAGAAATACAGAGACAAAGTGTCTCTGTACATCTTTTGACTGGGTTTGAATTTAAAGAGAGAATAGTTAATTGAAGTGGTCTGGATGCAGTCACACTTACAGACTGAAATGTTTTACATTGCAGCACCAAGACTGAAAACCTGCAATATTTTCCATTGCTGCTTATGGGACCTTACCGGACTTTTGGTCGTATTAGGGCCCCCTCCTCCCCCATATGAAAGCAATGAATAAATTGTGATTGCCCAACAGAGGCCTCTCCTACCTTTTATTTTATTTTTTTAATTGTATTTTCTCTGTGTGTTCTTGAACCGAGAGCCTTTTTTGTTTTACTATTAACGGCATTCCAGGACCCAAAACAACTACACCCAAATGGGGCATTCTTACCTCCAGCCGGCTGGGCAGGTGCTTATTGGCATTCGGGTGACTCGCCCTGCAGCGCTCCATGTCTCCAGAAAGTGGAATTCCAGAATCCAGATGCTGCCTGGAACAGTGGACACCGCCACTGGAGGCAAGAATGCTGCATTTAGATGCATTTGTTTTGGTGCCTGGAGTGTCCCTTTAAATCTTGTTTACAATGGAGAAACGTCTTTCACAATTGCACAACATGTATACTCATTTCTTCAGGCTTTACATGCTTGCTCTTAGTACACCTTGTTTGTACATCTGCCTGGTCAGTATTAAGGAATTTAAAAAGTAGGCTTTGGCACTTCCAGCTCATATAAAACCATTATTTATTTTTTTATGACTGCAAAGACCATCATTGCTTGCTGAAGAGTTCAAAGATCAACTGCATCAAAGCATCGCACACATTTAAAAGGATTGCTCACTAAGAGTTTAAATATGTCTCCTTGTTTCAACAGGTCAAAAAGTACATAAAACACCAAGCACCGAATTCTGAATATTAAAGGAACAGACCACGCTATGAAACCAATCCAGCATGCTGCAATGGCATGTGTCAGAATGCCCTGACACCCCCCTCCAATGTAAGAAGTTTGACTTCTCACCTTAAGTCTGCTGGATGCTGCTCTTCAAATCACTGCAAGTTTCAAAACGGCTCCATTGCAATGGTGCATTATTTTAATGTACTGTGTTTGGTACATAAAAGTCCCTTTTGTCTGAGAAACAGCAATGTTTTTTTATTTGTCCAAAACTATGCCTCTAGTGTCAACCAGACTGCTAATAAAGCAAAATCCTCCTCCATATTCTTTGACATTATGCATTGTATGAAGACACTGAACGCAGCAAATATATTTTAATCAATGCTGCCCATAGTGAAGTGTTGGAACAGTGGATTGCAGCAACTGCCGTGCAAATGCCATAAGTCTGCCTTGCTCCTACAGGAGTAGCAATTGATTGGGTAGATCATCAAGCTTCAGCTCACAGCAAGCAGATCTGGCAGTAGTGAGGAGTCTGTCCCAGGGTTGGAATAAGAGTTTGAAGAACCACTTAAGTTACCCATGCCACCCAAATGAAGTTTGAACCACGCAATGGAAGGTTAAATCCACCAATATAAAAGCTTCTGACACGGATGCCCCATAGCTAAACATGGATTTAATGCTTCCTATGGGGAAGCTTGGGTGCACTCATGAGGAGCATTGGATTGGACTATTGGAGAGGAGGCAATCTGCGCTACTGAAGTGACCAATATAATTTTAGTGCATTTGATAGGTTTTGGCCTGATTAACATACTGTATTTTTGCATGTTTAAATGTTTGTGAATTGCGTACAAAAACCCAACAAATATTTTGCAGAATGCTGCACCAGAAGTCTGCCACGCCCCTCATGCCATAAAGACTTTCTTAGCAAAGATATTCACACAGTCATCCACAACTGCACTGAGTGAGCGGCCTTTAATTTCACAACCTGGCTGTAAACAGAACAGGTAGTAATAACCTTACTGTATCCCTCACTGGGATTCCTATCCTAATGCAGGTTGCTTTGTAGTTCAGATCATTTAGTACTGTCAGTGTCAGACTTACTTGCATACCTATGATAAGATACATTTTTCTGGTATGAGAGGGCACGGCTACATGCAGGCTTACGGTGCAACATTCTGTCATTTATTTTATACAAAAAACTATAAACGTGCACAAAAAAAGGGGCAGAGAATTTAGAAGTCTAGATAAATTTAAATAGTGCTCCTTTAATCGTAATCATGTTCCTTTTGTAGACTTTAAAGGATCACTATAGTGTCAGGAAAATAACCCCTCTCTCCCCCCCTTAATCCAGCACCATCCCTCGGCGCTGGTGACCTCTCCTCCCCCGCCAACGTCAGCTCCCGAGTGTAGCGGAATGCGCATGTGCGTCAAGAGCCGCGCTCGCAAACAGTCCATAGGAAAACCTTGATAAATGCTTTCCTATGGACATTCTGCACACTGGATGCAATTTTCGCATCCAGTGTCGCTGAAGCGCCTCTAGTGGCTGTCAGGAAGACAGCCGCTAGAGGCAAAATTTACCCTGCAATGTAAACCTAGCAGTTTCTCTGAAACTGCTTGGTTTACATCTTAAGGGTTAAAACCTGGCACCCAGACCACTTCATTGAGCTGAAGTGGTCTGGGTGACTATATAGTGTCCCTTTAAAAAGGGTGCAAGCATAATTTTTAAAGTCATAACGTTGCCCTGTAGTATAATTACATTTTCAGCACAGTTCTAGAATGGGCCTGCATTTAATTCGTGAGCTGCTGCCCCTTTTGTAAAATGGAGATAAGTCAATCTTATCCCATTCTTAACAGTAAACAAAGCCTTCATATATGTCCCTTTAATATGTAAACACAAGCTAACTTCAAATCAAAAGTTGCAAGTCCAACTTTATTCCTAAAATTCAAAAATAAATCAAGCCGACTTGCATTCTATACACAGGGTAATCATAATGCTCGATTGGGTTTACGCACTATACAATCATGGCTACTGTGCATAAGGTCACTTCAATAAATTTAGCCCAGTTGTGGGGCACTGCCAAACAAACCACAGCAGTTCAGTCAATTAAACGCTTTCTAGTAACTTGCACAAACATAAAAATAAGTTATAAAGGGGAAACACCATATCACAACTGACAAATCGTGGAACTTTTCTCTTAAATCTTCTGCCCTTTTCTCTTAAATCCTCTCATGATTGACAGCTATTTACAGGGCTGGACAAAGCGGCTCCCTATTATTTATACCCATTTCCCCAAGCTCACCAGTTTTAAATTTCAAAATCTAAAATTTCACATTATCACAAGCTGGTTTTCATATAAAGAAACTTAACTGGCAAGAAAACCAGATACGACTGCTCAATAGCTCAAAAAAATTAAATTAAATAAAATGTTGGAAATGCAATTGCGGTGTCTTAACCTGGCACATTAGCTGTCAGGACTACAATCCCCATAACACTTTGCAAAAACTTGATCTCCATAAGAAATTTAGTACTCAGTAGCTGTAGTCCTAAATGTTAGCATGTACTAGAATATTTTAGTTCCAGGATACCTTTTTGACACATTATATGTGATTGTCACCAGCCTAACATGCCACTGGCCCTGAAGAGACAATTGTATTTTAATAAAATAAACAGAAAGCCTTACCGTTTGTCGATATTCTTTGATCATTTTAAGTTTATCTTCTCCGCCTTTGTTCTCCTCTTTCTGTTCAATGCTGCTGATTATTCTCCAGGACGCTCTTCTAGCCCCAATTACGTTTTTATATGCAACAGAAAGCAAGTTTCTTTCTTCTACCGTCAATTCCACATCCATTCCTGCCACCTTCTTCATTGACTCCACCATTTCTAAAATAAAATATACAAGTTATAAATAAGCAATAACACATTAGGTCCATCACAAAAGAGCACAGTGGGATTATGTACATCAATATCAATAGGGAAAAGCGTAAAAGTGGAGCAACACGTGTAAGCATCTTATGTTCAATGCTTGCCCTTAGTCGAACTAGGTTTTAGTATAGAATTTTTGCACAAAAGAAGTCTAAAGCAACACTCACTGTATTGCAATAAGGTCGAATCTTGATTGTTGAAATTTTAAGGAACTATAGTGTAAAGCAAGCATGTCAAACTCAAAGGTTAACACAGGCCAAATAAACCAGACTTAAGTTTACGTGGGCTGCAAAAAAAAAACCCAAAAAGAAACTTCAGTTTTCATAGAAACATAGGTTTATTTAGAAAAGTACAGTATAAAAATGTTGCCTGACACAGGAAGTCCTCACACTCATAGGGCTTCAAATTATACAAAAGATCTAATTTTAAGAAGACATGCATATAACCAATTTATCAGCCCAACTACCTTGACATATTAAGAAGAGTTTGGTAATGGGACGGAAATGGCGAATGTATGCTGTTGCACAGCTGTAAAAAACTAATGACGTTACCTTGTTTATTTTGAAGTCCTATGAGTGTGTTCTTCACTTTGGCTGAGATCATGAAACGTGATTGCAGCCAATCCAATGCTTTCCCATAGGAAAGCATGGGTAGGCAAAAAGCTGTGGGGCCAATCAGCATCTCCATGGGGAGCGTTCAGAGCCTCCATGCAGACCCAATCTAATAAACTGCAAATAAATCCAATATACTGCCCACAAATCCCTCCCTCCACTCCAATTTTATACACTGCTCTGTCCTGCCATCAAATAAATACACCGCCTCCCCTTCCCAATTTAGCACACTACACAGGAAGGTCCCCAAGCCCCTCTTACTCCACCTTAAGATGAGCCGCCTGTCTTCCAGTTCCAGCCCTTCTCAAGCAGGCCGGATGCTCCTCTGGCACTGCGAGCAGGAGGGAAGAGTATTGGCTGGCCTGCTGGAGCACGCGATCGGCAGTGGGAGGGAAGACAAGAATCAGACAGGAAATATCTTTCCTGTCTTGCAGCTGGTCGCAACAACACAAAGTTACCCCAGGGTAGGGACTTGTGATTGGCTCAGGCCACCACTTCGGATGATGTCAGCAGACCGAGGTAGTTCAGTGGCACAGGAAGCAGACTTGAATACAAGATTTTACTATATTTAGTAGGGTAAAGTGGGGTAGATGGTGGTTTTAACAACATGGGGTCAGGAATACAGGTTTATGTTCCTGACCATATAGTGTTCCTTTAAGATATAGGTGTGTGTGTTTGAATGAATGAATGTATGTATGTATATATGTATGTCACTGCTGCACATCCCTGACATGATAAAACAGTTGCAAAAAGTCTACATGGAGAAAGGAGTGGCCCTTTAAAGTAGGACAAACAAGACTTGAAATTCAATGTTCAAAACCTAGGCATCAATTGTACAATATATAATAAACAATGTTGTGTGATTGTCAGCAGCAAGAGTATTTGCAAAATAGTTCCCAGCCAAGCCTTCTGCTGTATTTAAAAAAATAAATTAATAATAAAAATAATTTTGAACTAGTTCTGCACTCTCCTCTCAAATACCTGGAAGTCTGATAGAGAGATTATATATATATATATATATATATATATATATATATAAATAAATTACTGAGCAGTCTATGTCAATATGAGGATGCTGAAAGGGTTTATGACCTGCTTACTCACAAAAAGGTTTTCGATGAACAAGGAAGTGAAACTTGCTCAAAGCATCCCAAGTAGAAATTAGAATCTTCCGACTTTAACCAATTCAATATGCTTTGACACCAATAGTTTCCAATGCATCATAATTACTACTATAAGTAGTTACGATGGTACTTAAAGGGACACTACAGTCACCAGAACAACTACGGCTTAATGTAGTGGCTCTGGTGTCTATAGCCTGTCCCTGCGGGCTTTTCAATGTACACACTACTGTGTAGTAACGCCTCTAGTGTGGCTTCCTGTGTCAGTGCTGCACGGGCATTACTCTGAAAGTTCCCCATAGGGATGAATTAACTTCACACATCTCTAGGAGGAGATGCAGACTGGTGCAGTGTGGAGTTTTTCCACACATGCGCAATAGCCTCCCAATGTGTTCCTATGAAAGAGCATTGGTTTGACGGAGAACAGCAAGACTGAAGATCTCAACCATGTGTTCCTGACACTAGAGTGTTTCTTTAAGAAAATTAAAATGCTTCTTCACAAGAGGAAATAATGGTCTACATAATTTTCCTTCTATGTAGCGGCTGTGAATATTCCAATGGAAAAATGTGTCTTGCATGACAAATAAAGGAATAGATAGATGTCACCTTACACCTTGCTTTGGGAAACGTTCCAACAGAACTATAATTGACTAGGAGAGAAAGGGGTGGGTGCTATTTTGTATCATTCAAAATCACAGCAGCATGGCAGCATCAACTCTTGAGAGGAGGTAAAGATTTATTTATTTTTAACCCTATCTTCCAGTTCTCCTTTCCTTAAAGGGACACTATAGTCACCAGAACAACTACCGCTTAATGTTGTTCTGGTGAGTATAATCATTATATGCAGGCATTTTCATGTAAACACTTTACATTGCTCCTAGGGTCACCTCCAAGTGGCCACTCCTTAGATGGCCACTGGAGGGACTTCCTGGGGCAGTGCTGCACAGTACGCAGCCCTGCCGTTCAGCATCCCCACGCTCTGCATGGAGACGCTGAATTTTCGTCAGAGATGCGTTGATTCAATGCATCTCTATGAGGAGGTCCTGACGGGCCAAAACGGCATTTGGCCCCGCCCCATGCCGAATTTAGCCAATCCAATGCCATTTTGATGATGTCACAAAGGGGCGGACCCCGCGGCGCTGGAATTAGGTTGCGTTTCAAACTTTTCTAGGGGGGCAACCCACCTAAATGGTGAGTTAAACACTATAGTGTCAGGAATACATGTTTGTGTTCCTGACCCTATAGTGATCCTTTAAGCCCCCTACATCTTATTTTCTTTTTTGTAATGGATCAACTTCTATGTAAATAAAGAACTAAATGGAACTTAGGAGACAAAGGATTCATTCAAAATGCAAAATAGACCACGTTGCAGTTCCTGGCCGCTTATAGAAAAATTCCAGGCACCATAACAACTTCATCTAAATGAAGGTGTTACATTGTCAATGTGTCCCTGGTCACATTATTACCTTTTAGGGTTAAACTGTTCCAGTACAGTTTAATAACGGATGGTAAGAACGCGCCCTGGGGACTCATGGCACCACAACTGTCCCTTTAAAATGGCAATGTCAGAGTGCAAGACAGGTCTAGGCAAGACTCCACTGGATCCTCTATAGCAGGCCTGCACAACATGCGTCCTCCAGATGTTTTGAACTACAACTCCCACGATTCCCCGGCTATCTGTTTAATTAAAAAAAAAAAAGGGCGCTTGCCATCGGTTTCATTAAATGAATCATGGGCATTGGCGGTTTTAATCAAAGAATCATATACCAAATGGCTAACTAAAACCCATTTGCATCTTTATCCCATTAAGTCACTATTAAAAAAAAAATATATATATATATATATATATATATATATATATATATATATATATACATATACATACACACATACATACATACACATATATATATATATATATATATATATATATATATATATATACACATACATACATACATACATACATATATATATATATATATATATATTTTTTAAACCATTTTGCCTTTTTTTTTTTTTTAAACAGTGAATAGGGCTCATATTGTGGCAATAGTATCACTTAATTTCCACATCTTAACCAGACCAGTCTACACCTTCAAATGGGTGGAGCATCTGTGGTCCAACATCTACAATACACATCACAACCTCTATGACGGTTAGGGAAAATATCACGCTGGTATAGTCACCCTTCTAGGTTAGCTAAAATTAGTCAAGGCATTGTCTCCACTTATTTTCAAGGTTGTGGGGAGAAAGTTATGTACTTGCACAACAACAAATGGTCCTGTCCCAGGATTAGACGCCAATGGGAGGGCCTCTTCATGAAGATAATATATATATAAATAAATAATCAGATAAATAAAGCTTACAGGACTTCGGTTTAGACAAATACAAGAAAGGAGCACCACACTCAGGTAGATGCTACAGTCTATTAGCTGATCAGAATGGAAAAGTTGACTGCTGCTATAAATTAAAGCACTGAACGTTACCTAAAAATATTACATCTATTTTCTCCACAGGGTCTTAATTTGGATCTTCTCCTAGTTATGTTTTCTTTAGTATGCTTACTCCACTGGGATACTTGCAAGCACGACTTTGCCATATTACCTTTTACCACTCCACCCTCTAGGTACTATTTGTTTAATGTTTAGCACTTCTTGGGGGTGGCCATAGCTCACCTATACTTTTGGGAACTTTGTTTTGTTCCTTGTTTGCCTCTGTGGCAGTCATGCTCTGTATATATTTACTAACTATTGCATGTTCTTATTTACTGGTATTTCTTGATAAAGAAGGGGGGGGTGTTTAAATAAGAACTTGTAAAATTTGTTTCTTGGGTATAATTATGCCTTATGGACAGCAATGACTAACCCTTCACACTACAGCTGCTAAGGCCTACAGTTTCCATATGGCTCAGTTAGCTAGCAGAGTATATTAGAGAACCGCAATACCAAGAGCTAAACATTTGTTTTTCTAGGGTGCATTATTCATCAGTATAAATATATTCACTGACAGACTAAACGCACTATAAAATATGAAGAAAAATAAGAGACCCTCAGCGTTCCCATGTTTGAGCCATGTTGCCGTTTTATTACACCGCTATGTTTGTGTTTATTCAGAAAAATGCTTACTTTTAGGGATGACTAAGGATTCAAGTGGCACTCCAAAACACAATTATATTAATTTATACACTACTTTATTGCTGTCAAACTGCATGAATTATTTTTCTAAAAACACAAAGGCAGGAGGGGTTGTTAGGTGAGAATATAACAGCAGCTGCAGGCCAAAGTTAAGATTTATGACCCCTCCCACATACATTTCCTTAAAGTGACAAAATAGGCACCCAGACCACTTCATTTTAGTGAAGTAATCAGAGTGCAGTACCCATATCACTCAGTCCTGCAATGGAAATCATTGCCATTTTAGAGAAACTAAGACAGCCTTGTAGGATCTTACCGACTTTATGTCACCGGACGCTGGACATCCTCAAATGTGATGTATTAAAGAGGAACTGTCACAAATTGTGCAATTGGAGGTGCTATTTGTCAATATTACAATGGACTCCAAGTTAAAAATGATCGGATCCCTGAGAAAGTTCTTTATCCAGTTTCTCTTTCCTTCATAGTAAAAATATTTATTGGTTTTATAAAAAGACATATCAAGAAGAACAAAATCAAACTAGAAAGTTTGACCAATCATAAACATCACACAGGACATTTTGTAGTCACAGTACATAAAAATAAAGTGAGGACAACAGGTTACAACAAATCAATGTTTCATCTGTACAACTCTCACATCCCAGTATTGAGATTTTTTATTAAGATTTTAAAGTTATTTTCTGTCCTTCCAGATTTCTGCTGCCTGCCTTCCATATGCATGGTTATGTTATTCTTCAGACAGAGCACTCTGTTTTCATATATTCTTAAAATGGATACAGAAGAATATACCTGATCCATTATTATACCCTGTAAAGGGAATATTTGAATAAAACTTTGACCTCATAATACCTCCCTATAGGAAAGCATTGGGAGGCTATGGCGCATGCAATGCTGCACCAATCACCATCTCCTCACAAAAGGCAGTATTTACAATAAAAGCATGCAGGGATATGCTATAGACATAAGCACTACATAAAGCTGTAGTTCTGGTGACTATAATCTTCCTTTAATTGTGAGTGCAACACCACCTTTCCATTTTCTAATTTCATACAACACTACGCTGTGTGTAGCTGATTTTCAGCACAGTTCAGTGGATAATCAAATCTAATGTAAGCTTGTTTGAGCAGAGTCCTCTTCAACCTATCATTCCTGTAACTTATATTGTAAAGCGCTACAGAATCTGTTGGCGCTATATAAATAAATTCAGAAGAAGTGGATCTTTCCTCGCCAATAAATTTTAATACGGCAAGTGACATTTTATGGTGATGGTTTTACATCACATCACAGCTCCTTTTCACTTTTTATTTATCAGCGTTTGTGATTAGACAATAAAACCGATCTGTATTGATATTACTATTTTATGTGTGTTTGATAATCACTTTCTAAAAATAAATAAAAATAATGCCAAATACACACACACACTTGACCTGGATTAACAGTCAATAAACAAGTAGTCTTTGAAAGCCTGGAGTGCTGGTATTTTTTCATATTTATATCATATCTGTGACTTGGCACCGGGTAATAACTTTTAAAGTTGGAGTGCAAGAGTTTTAGATTTGAGATAGAGATATAGATATATATAATAATTATTAACTTCACAAAGTTTCCCTTCAATAATTGGGGTTTGGTAGGGGGAGAGTATTACCCAAGCGCCCCAATTCAGACAGCTGATTTACTGTGGTAAACCGAAATAGATGGCATCAATGAATAAGGAATTGTCATGTTGAGACCATACATATGAGTGGCATGTCAGTCAAAAGACCTCCGGTCATTAGAGTCAGCTTACATATATTCTATATACTATAGAAAGTTAAAACTTACCACAGTATATAGTCTAAATCAGTGGTGCCCAAAAGGTAGATCCCCAAATGTTGTAGAACACTAACTCCCATGTTGCTTTGCATGCCTTTAGCGATCCTTTAGAATGATAAAGCATCATTGAAGATGTAGTTTAAAAACAAATCTGTGAATCTACCTTTTGGGAACCTCTGGTCTAGATATATCAAGTAGGACTTTAGGAAAAATTCTTCTTGGGCACAGTAAAGCCAAGGCGTTCTGTTTCCACAATTCTCAGCTAACGAACACAGATAAGCAGTGTTTTAGAGTAGTTACCTTTAGTGGAAAGTTCCTTTCAGCAACAGTGCCATTTTAAAACCAGAAGCATGCTGATGGTCCTGTCAAAACAGTTCAGGATTGGTTTTTGGTCACTGGTTCTTTTGGATCTCAAGCATTGGTTTAAAAACCCTGTGTCTAAAAGGAGTGCACGCCATTGCCAAGGGTGCCTGCAGAAATGCAGGATGAAGCCTGAAACACAAGGCCTGCCTGCTTATTGATAGAGTTGGGAATACTAGGAGTATTGTGGAAACATGCTCTCATAATTACTGTACCCAAAGTGGACATCTCCCACATAACTTGTTGATGTAAGCAGATGATGCACAATAGTAACTTATGAATTCCTATACCGCAGACCAGAGGTAAACACTAGGCACTCCAGATGCTATAAACTACATCTCCCAAACTGCTATTACAGCAACGTTGGCAAACAGTGCCAAATGTTGCCTACCCTGCTAAAGACAAATATGCTCTCGTTACATACAAAAAAAAAAAAAAACCCAGACTTTTGGTGAGTGGTATCAATTAATAAAAACAATATTCTAGATTGTTTGGTGACTTAATGTATACAAAATTGTAAATTAAGGAATATAATAGTGATCTGCAATACGAATTGCAAGTCCAATGTTTGTTTTTTTGGTAAAAAGTCAGACAAATTACAATTCTAGTGTGGGAGGTCTGACTAATGACAAACCACCCTATGCCAGACCTCCCTTTTGTCATCCCTTTTCTTGTGTAAAACATGCTCTTTGAAAAATCTTACACTGCAAGGATATAGATCACAAGGATTCCAAGAAAACCTCGGAGGAATTATCAGCCCATGTAAACTTCTTAAAACATGGGTGTAATTTTAATTTTTTTGTATAAGCTTACTATGAGCTAGTTTATGCAATTAAATATTTTTTTCCCTTCAGTAACTTGATCCTCAATATAAATGGTAAACTAATTGGAATATATATTTCATGAATTGGTTTTGGTGTTATGTAATCTTTAGGAAGTCTTAACGATGTCAATAATTGAAAGTCTGGAGTGCAGTATTTAGCAGTTAATTTTGAGACAGATTAGGAGTTTATCCAGATGCCTGGCTCCATTTCATACCTCTTTATTACAGCAGCTTAGACAGCTAACACTCACCACTTACAGAGAATATAAGAAATAATCTTGAAGATCCCAGCTTTTAAACTGTTTGCATAGCACCTTTGCAAACATGGGATCTTACAACGATCTATTTTCCCAGTCCTACACTCTACATCAATTTGATGAGGTAACTGTGACTCCATATGTGAATAAATCTGAACTCCAAAAACCAAGTGATAATTTTCCCACCTTCATAAGAGTTTAATGGTCTTCTATTTACCAAGCCAGGAACTTACCAGGGAATTGCAGGTTTAAGGCCAGAAGAGAATTTTTCCATCTCAACTGTTTGGTCTTTGGAATATTTGTAAAATTAGTAGTTTCCTTGTCAACACTTTAATCCTGGGTTAGAGAATAACCCATGTATGTTCATATACAAAAAGGTAAACGTGCTCCAAAAACATTGTTCTATTTTACATAAAATTTATTTTATAGCTCCTTATACAAAAATGTGTAAAATATGTTTGGGTGAGGTTTGCAAAATCAACTAAACATTCAGAAAAGAAAAGACTAGCATCTAAGTCATTCATTCGTCTAACCCAACACTTACAAAGAGTCCCTCATCCCTGTGAGATCCAGAATGAAGTCTAGATTTAAAGAGATATTTACCAATGTACACCAATGCAGATGTTGACCATGTCAATAACTAAATTTTTTTTGTTTTGTTTTTTAAAACAGATTACAAGTAAAAATTGTAATATTTGCAAAAAGGAGGAGAATACAAATGTATAGTGATACATATGTGCTTGACACAATTTATGATGCACTTCTTGTATATAGCCAATTGTATTATTCAGGGCATACTCCTATAGATAGAAAAGGCAAACAAAATTCACAGGTGATGTAATACATCTCCCACAATGCTTTACCAGTCCTGTTATCTTTTAGCCAATTCTGGTATAATGTATATAAAAGAAGAATATGTAAAAGTAGAAGGAAGCCCTTAGGTTTAATTGCAATACAAAAAGGATGAAAGTATTGTAAAAAAAAAATGGACAAAACTAAAATAAATACTGGTCGGATCAATGTTGACCATTTCCAAAACAATAGGTTATCAGTAATAGTTTTGTGTGGTAATATGGGTGGATGCACTTGGATTGAAGCCCTGTGTTTTCACAGGTAATCAGAATATATGCGGAACCAAAAAATAAAAATCAGCCTATTGATCAATTTCCCTTTGCTGCTGGTGTAATTTCTATGAGACGTATACCTTCAAATGTACCCAGGAGTGTATACTCATCACGCTATTCCTATGAAAAGATTAAAAATTGATCAACTACTCTACAGCATATCCAATGCAATCCCGTCTTCTCCAGTAAACAATGAATCCACTTGCAGTCACACTAATGTCGTACCGAGATGTGTCAGTTATCAGGAAACCGCCCCTGGCTCTCCCACCATCCCCCTTACTACGTTTCTCATAGCAGATAGAGCCATGTAATCTGTCCATGACATTCTGCAGAAAGCATTGCAGTAACAGAGGTGGGTGTATGGCGCGGAGTGGGTTAAAGGTCTGCTGCCACCCTATAGCCGGGAGCCGCCCTTCGTGCTGAGCCGTGTCCGCCCGATCACAGACCGGTCCGGGTGCAATGAATGGGACCGGGCCACATCACTCCTCAGGCTAGGCCTGGGCGGAGAAGCCCGTCCCACTATTCCCATCCCCCGTGCCGAGTGATTGCAGGGTGACTCCCCGTGTCCCCAATGAGATCACCGTGACCAGCAACATTCGGTGGCCGCCATCCGGCGACCGAGTGAAAGGGTTTCCAGTAATAATCCCTGAAACCCCACGATCACCGCCCTGTGTCACCCTCGCCCTTCCCAATGAATGAAAGCAGGAGGCTGGGCGGACACAGATAACCTTGGGCTCCCGGCTCTGCCTTCGTCCCCCCCAATTAACCCTGGAGCCCCCACAAATGGCTGACCTTGGCAGCCAGAGTATACTGAACTACAACTCCCATGATGCGCAGCCAGACAGGATGGGAATCCATCATCATTTGGGGGGTACCATGGGCTGCCACCCCCGAGCCAGGCTGGGAGCGCCCCATTATAGCCATCATGGAGTATTACTACGGGATCAGTACATACCGCCGGCAACCACCGACTGGGGGCGCCATGGAGCCCTCCCCCCACCACACAGGGCGCCCCCCGGGACAGGCTGCCAATATAATGAATAATGCGCAGCTGGGAGCCCCCTGCAGGGTGACCGGCTGTACCGGGAGGCGGTGTGCTCGCTGTCACCCAGGGTTACCGGCCGAGGTACGGCCATTACTCCCAGGGTGATAGCGGACACACGGGGTGCCCCTCCCCCCACCCAGGTAATAATTGGGGACCCCCTCCCCCCCGGTAATAATGGAGACCCCCCTCCCCCCACCCAGGTAATGGAGACCCCCTCCCCAGGTAATAATTGAGACCCCCTCCCAGGTAATAATTGAGATCCCCCCCAGGTAATGGGACCCCCCAAGAAATAATTGAGATCCCCTCCCCCCACCCAGGTAATAATTGAGACCCCCCCCACAGGTAATAATAGGTCTCGTTATCTCCGAGCTGCATCACTGCGGATCCTGCCCCTCCCCAGCACACCCCGAGCCGCCCCTCATGTGGGAGCCGGTGTGGGGGTACCGGGGGAGCCGTGCCGCCATGCTCCTCCACCCGCGGGGCTCGCCCTGCTCGGCGGTCGCCATTTTGCTCTGCTCTCTTCCTGCCTCCCGCCCGGACACTGCAGGCGGAATCCCCCCGCCGGCCCCCCCTCCACCCCCGAGCCCGGGCTGCCGTCTCCAGCCCCGAGCCCTGTCCCCGGGGCCCGCGGTGCGGAGCTCGGTCACTGTCTCCTTTGTCCTACCCTCCCCTGCCTTCCCAGCCCCTCCGCCATTTTGTCTCGCCTCCATTCTCTCCGCCCGCCGACCTGTGAAGGGGGGGATGGAAAGAATAAAATAGCGGCAGATTTCTCCCTACCGTCGTATCTCTCTGCCTGCTCGGCCAGCTTGGCTTGGTACACTAGGTCCTCTCGCTCTTCCATGACGGTGGCTAGCGGGGATTAAAGATGATCTACTGGGCGGATGGAAGCCGATTGTGTTCGCTACGTCTCCCAGCGGCTCAGCCTCTCTGTTCTCTCAGCTCAGCCCGGGAAAGATGGCGGCTCCTTGATCCGGGAACTTCCGCCTGCGCACGCGGACCAAAAAAAAAAAAATAACTCCTATGGCAACAGCTCCCCTGGCAACAGAAAGCAGGCGCGGCAGGTCTTGGGAGGGGGAGAGGCCTCGTAGAATTCTTGCGTCATGCACACACAGGAAAAAAAAAATCCACCAAAAACGGGCGTGGCCACGCGCGAGCGGACCTTATAAGGGAGCCCGGTGGGGAAGGAGGCGATCATCTGATTGGTGACCGCAGTGAGGAGAGGGTGGGAGAGTGAAGGTCGCTGCATTAATAGGCCTGGCTCACTGTCAGCATTAACAAGCCTGATATAATTATTTCATTGTTCCCTGACTCGTTTACAAATGCTCTTTAGTACACATATGTTTAAATAAATGTGTGCCTACATTTGTATTATGCTGTGTATTGCAGGGAATGAACACATTGCTGATTTATACGTGAATACACACAAAAATATATATGTATTTTTTTTTTATCAAGGATGCTTACATAAAAAGGGGTTTATTCACTAAACTTCATATTGTTATGCGCTGAAATCCATTTAGTGGCTAAATGGAGGATACAATATCAGATAAGAATGTACCTAGTCAATCCTGCCGCTTCCATCTCAAAAACATTGTGCGCATCCGACCCTACTTAACGCCAGATGCGACTAAGGTGCTGGTCCTTGACTCCTGTAATCCGCTTCTCAGTGGTCTTACGTGCTCAAAGCGTGCACCGTTACAGTCCATAATGAATGCGGCGGCGAGGCTCATCTTCCTGTTCGCCCACACCCCCCACGCCTCACTTTTCTGTCAGTCCCTACATTGGCTACCTGTAAGATATAGGGCTCAATTTAATATTCTGGTTCTTGCTTTCAAATCTCTACATAATGCTGCTCCCACCTATCCTCCCTAATACACAAGTATGTCCCGTCTAGGCCCTTACGATCTGCTGAAGACTTACGTCTATCTTCTGTCCGTACTCCCACCTCTGATTCTCGCCTTCAAGACTTCTAGAGGGCAACACCGTTCCTGTGGAACTCACTTCTCTCCTCCATTACATGCTCAGCCAGTCTCCACTCCTTCAAAAATCATTAAAAACCCACTCGTTCATAAAAGTGTATCAATTAAACTGTTAATAGCTCCCGACTGATTTCTCTCTTGCAACTGTCATTAGCCTAATACTATCCTTACCTTTTTGTCTATTTATCCCACTCCCTCTAGCATGTAAGCTCATTGAGCAGGGCCCTCCACCCTCTGTTCCTGTGTGTCCAATTTGTATGGTAGCAACTACATGTCTGTTCGTCCACCCATTGTAAAGCAGTGTGGAATTTGTTGGCGCTATATAAATAACATAATAATAATAAAAATTGACTAGGTACTCATGCATCGCAGGGTTATTCAGGGGTCAAGGCATCGCTATCAGTGGCGAGGGCATCAGTTGCCCTTGTGAACTTCCATGCATGGGTCCGCTCGTCCAGTGCTCTAAATTGAGCACTTGTCCGCGAGGGCGCTCTGGAGTGGGAAAAAATGCGATATATAAGGCGCCCTAGGGTGATATTTGGTGCCAGAAGAAAAGTTAACAGTAGAGTTATTATTTTATTTTCTTTCATAGCAAGTTCTTTTGTATTTTATTGTGAGGATAGCTATGGAGCACTTGATTGAGGAAGTTAAGAGGAGGGCATTCAGAATGGCTCATGCAGTGTCTATTTACTGCCCCTTCCTCTCAAATGAATTCACGCCCATAGGATTCTTTACTGGATATTATAGAGCCTGAGAAGGAGGAAGCTGCTAAAGGGGAAGACTCTGAGGAGAAGCATCAAATGTCTTTATGTTTGAGTGACAGATGTTTACCACAGGGTAGGAAGAAGAGAATTTGTAAATCAAGAGTGATTTATTCCCCGTCATCCACCAGAGGGAGCAAGAAATCTAAAGCTGCAGGGAAAAAGAAATCATGTCATTTCGCTAAAATGGATCAAGTACCGGTCACTGAAGTCGTTGAGCAAGCTGGCAACTCATATACAGTACTGCCCCTTCGAAGGTAATGGACAATTCGACTGGTGAGTCCTGCTCTGGGGTTTCTCCTGAGGCTAAGTTGGGAAAGGCCCTGGGGGTTTTATTTCAGGCTATTCAGGGTAAAGCTGGTAGTCCTGCTATGGCTTGGTTGCAAGACTTTTTGAATTTGTCAAATTCACCTGCATCGGTTAATTTGGTTAATCGCTCTGATAAGAGCAGTACGCCTGTTAATGAGTCTTGTTTGAAGGAAGCTTTGGTGTGCAAAGCTTCACCTCTTGGTTTTCGTTTGGCTAATTGCATTAAAGAGAAAATATGGAATGATATTCTTTCCTTATAGCCAGCCTCTAAGGAATTTGTGTTACGGCAAGAAAGAGATGAAGACAGGAAACGACCGGTACCTCGGTACTTTAACCCCTTAAGGACCAAACTTCTGGAATAAAAGGGAATCATGACATGTCACACATGTCATGTGTCCTTAAGGGGTTAATAATTGGCTTCAGGCGTTTTGTATTTTTGCTAGTGTTTATTGTGAACGTCATGCAGATAAAGCTTGCGGTCTTTTTCATCATCTAGAAGCTATATTAGAGACTTTAAAAAATTTCGGTAGATTGGCTTGATTCAATTATGATGAAATATTTCGTCAGAAATTATCGGTGCATAAGAATTTGAAATAGGGTATGATGGATGTTGGTTCTTGGGTGAGGATTATGCTACCAATCAGGATTCCTCAAAATCAATATAGGCCGCAGACTCAGGCGAGTGGGTTGCAAATACGCCCTAAAGGTGTTTCTTGGTCTTTTAATGAGTCACAGTGTAAATGGCCGAATTCTTGCAGGTTCAGACATGAATGCATTAATTGTGCGGTGAGTCATCCGTCCTTTCGGTGCTTTAAAAGGCAGGGTTCTGCCGCCTGGGAACAGATTTCTAAGAGCATGGACCCCAGTGAAAGTACAAAATCTGCTCCCTTACTTAAAATGCTATCCAAACCAGCAGATAGCGCAGCTAATTAGAGAAGGTTTTTTATTTGGTTTTAGAATTCCTGTTTGTAGTGCATCAGTTCAGTTTGTTGAACATCTTAGTATTTAGTTCAGTTAAGTTGAATACTTGTATAGTTAGAGATAAGATTGATAGTGAAACAGCTTTAAGGAGAGTGGAAGGCACGTTTTCAGTTCTGCCTTTTCCATATTTTAGAGTGTCTCCGCTTGGTTTAGTTCCCAAGAAGGAGAAAGGTACCTATAGATTAATTCACCATCTGTCTTACCTGAAAGGTATGATGAGGTGGATACCTCCATTATTTCGGTGTCTTATAGTGATGTCGCGAACGGTTCGCCGCGGACTCATCATTGAGTAAACCCTCCCATCTCCTGGACAGCTCACTAAGAATGCAGCTTCACAATGAATGTAAAATAGATGCTGTCCAGGAGGTGGGAGGGTCTGGGAGGGAGGGTCTGCTGCTGATTGGCTGGAATGTGTCTGCTGACTGAGGTACAGGGTCAAAGTTTACTCAATGATGACATAGGGGCGAACCGTTCGGGACATCACTAGTGTCTTACACTTCCTTAGAAGATGCGCTGAAATGGGTAAGGAAGTGTGGTCAGAATACCCTTAAGTCAAAAGTTGACATTGAATCAGCATTTAGGTTACTTCCTATACATCCCAAATGTTTTGGTTCATTGGGTTTACAATTCTAAGGAAAATTTTATTTTGACAAATGTATGCCTATGGGTTGTTCTGCTTCTTGTTTTTATTTTGAAAGTTTTTCAAGTTTTTTGGAATGGGTTCTTAAACAGGTTTTGGGTTTAAATTGTTATTCATTATTTGAATGATTTTCTTTTTATTGGGAAAGCTGAATCTTCTGATTGCTTTCATTTACTACAAATTTTCATGTCCATTGCTCAACAATTTGGCATTCCGTTGGCAAAAGAAAAAACAGTTTGGCCTGGTACATGTTTACAATTTTTAGGTATAATTATTGATTCTGAATGAATGGAGTTTCGTTTGCCTGAAGATAAAATTGTCAGAATGAGGCGCAAAGTTTCTCATTTATTAGATGTTAATAAAACGACAGTTAATAAATTGCAGTCTGTGTTAGGTTTACTAAATTTTGCTTCAAGAGTAATGCCAATGGCTAGGGCTTTTTCCAGACATATGTCCAGAGCTATAGCTGATTTAAAAAATCTGCACCACCATGTTAGAATTTCTAGACAGATTAAAGAAGATTTACATGTTTGGAATGCTTTTTTATGCTTTAATAATTCCTCGATTTGGCAAAGTGATTTTGTATCCAATTGGGATTTGGATATTTTCACGGATGGAGCTGGTTCTCAAGGCTTTGGTATATACTTTCATGGTAGGTAGGCAGCAGCGGGTTGGCCCTGGACGTGGGTTGAGAATGGTTGGACAAGAATGATTACTCTTTTGGAGCTATTTCCAATAGTCGTAGCCCTGGAGGTTTGGGACTCTGAATTAGCAAACAAAATTATTACTTTTCATTGTGACAATTTGGGTAATCAATTCTCTTAGGGCAAAATGTAACCCGGTGATCAATTTATTATGACGATTGGTTTTTATTTGTTTGGTAAATAAAATATGGGTAAAAGCGAAGCATGTAAGTGGGAAAAGTAATTGTATAGATCCATTTCAGATCCATTGCACCTCTAGGAGACTAAGTTGGGATGAGGCTGCCAGAACACATCTGGGAGCTAAGTTCACTCAGATAAGCCCTTTGTTGGGTTTATCCGTATTTACAACCACTTGGGGAGCATACTTAAAGGCGTGGGAAGAATGGCAGTGGTTTATGGTTAATTTAAATAGGGACGCTACTGATCCCTCTATACAGGATGCAATTCAATATGTTGTTACAAAAAAATTCAGGCCGGTGTATCGAAATTTTTATTTAAAAGAGTTCTGTTGGGCATTTATTTTTTCCTTAAAGTATTGAGGAAAAAGTCTGGTTTTAAAGAATTCGTTATTTAGCAAATGTTAAAAGGGGCTTGGTTAAAAAAGCACCTGTCCAAGATGACAGGTCCCCTATCTCTTATCATCATCATTGGGTGATTTGGTAAATAATTTGAGCTCCATTTGTAGAGATGCATTTGAGAC